TTTACTCAGCTTTTTTGTTTTGTAGACATATATATTTGGTTTTTTTTTTCTTTTTGTAACATAGTAAAACAGCAGCAAAAACAGAGGGTGGTCATCTGCAGATTAACAACAACAATAAAGTACATAAAAAATAAAAAATTTTACAACTATGTTCAGCTAATTGAACAGAATTCGATGTTGCACCATTACAATAATTACCATAACAAACACATAAACTTATTGAACTGTCGTCACTTTTTTCAATTGGCAGCTGGAATAAAACCCGTTTTCTGCAAAATAAAAAACAAAAAAGGAACAGAAAAAAATGTTGAAGTGAATGAGAAATGAAATAAAACAACAACATTTTAAAAATGTTGAAACCAAAAAAGAAAACGAATTATTAACAGCAATAACAACCAAAAAAAAAACAACAAATTAATAAATTGGTTGTTGCTTTTTTTTCTTTTAGACAATATACTGTTTATTTATATTGCTCCGTTTTATTTTAGCTGACAATATTAGTTTTGAACAATTTTAACCCGGTAGTTTTATATGTGTATTCAATTTTTTAAAACTATCTGTTAAAGTTTTGCTTGTAATTTGCTTCTAATTATCGTCAAATGATAGATATTATGTAGAAAACAAGATTCTGTGTGCCCAGTTGCTGTGTAATACCATTATACTGTTCTGATACTGACTTCTGTTGTAATTCAGAAGACAAAAAAAAAAGGATGTAAAAATCCACAAAAAATTTTCTCTCATCCACTATTCAGGATTTGCACTGTTTTTTTTCATAGCCCAATACAATAGTAAATCCAAAGTAAGAACTAAGATTTAAAACAGAAAATTTTTTTGTAAAAATTTTTCTCATCTTTAACTATCCCTTTTTTTTTACGCTTTTAAAGTGAAGTAAAAAAAAACAATTTTTTTTTGATAATCTGTTATTCTTCTAAAATTTTTTTTTTAGTTTATGCACTTTTTTTTCACACTATTTTTTCTCCCGTATTTATCGTGCAACTTAAAACAGTAAAATTGAAATTACTGGTTATTAGCAGTAAAACACTGAAACACTGAAATTACTGGTTATTAGCAGTAAAACATTAATTATTTCTACTAATTTTTAATAGGATAATTTGATAAAAACAAAAATTTAAAAAATACAGCAAAAAAAAAAAAGGCTGTATTCTCAGCAAAAATATGTAACAACAAGTTTTTTTGGTTTTTTTTTTCTACTTTTTCCTTACCTCACTTTAAAATTTCTTTTAAAACAATTTCTTCGTCTTTTTTTGTTTTTCATTTATCTATTTAAAAAATGCACATATATTTGTATGAAAAGGTTAGCCAACTTTTTTTTTCTATTATCAACTAAAATCTTCATCAATAATACAATAGCAAAAAAAAACACACACACACACACACATTTTACAGCTTCACATTACTGTTTGAAAAAAACCGAAAAACCGAAAAAAAAGTTATAAACTGCAAAGTGCAGAAAAAAGCAAAAGGTTTCTGTAATTTTTTAATTACTAAATTATTCAACGCTCTACAAAAAAACAAGAAAAAAAAAACAAAATTTGTTTTTCGTGTTCAAACGATGTTTTAAAATTTCCAGTTATATACTTGAAATTTTTTTAGAGTTGAATTGAAGAAGGACATAAGATGAAGGAAATACTAACTGATAGAAGTTGCAAGAATCTCTTAGGTACCATCGATGCCGATTAATGATCGTTTTATTAAAGCCACCCCTCAATATATCATCCATACAGCCACGAATATTGCTTTTGAAGCGTAAACCTTAAACAGCACTGAAGTTGTCAACATTGATAAGTTTTTTAACAAAAATTGGATAAAATGAAATATATTACTAAAGATATGTTAAATTTAGGGGACAAAACAAATAGGTGGTATTTTTTTTTCAAATTTTATGCAACTGAACTTAATCTGTGTATCAGACTTACAAAATTCATTCTTTTAGCAAATCAGAGTAGATTTTTTTACAAATTTAGTGCTAACTTCTTTTTATTTTCAGGTTTTTTGTTTTTTTTAGTTTTGAAGACAACTGATTGATGTGTTTGAAGATAAGTATTAAAAAATTGTTAAAACAATTTCACCTCCAATCACCAGTATTTCAGTCATTCGAATGCATACTGTTTGACAGGCAACGGATCGTACGGAATAGGCACCGATATGTTCCGAGTCACAAAGTTTGGTGAAATTTCTTGGCGCATAATAAACGTGTTGTAATTCACTCCATGCCGCCTCATAGATTGGTGACATACACGAGAAACATCGAATGGTATCTAAAACAACAGAAAACTCGAAGGACTGTTTGAACAACAAAATTTTTCTTCTATATCTATAATTAAAAAAAATTATTCCTTTTTTTTTTTACAATAAAAATAGTTTTTATAGTTGGATATATATATGGAATATTGTTGTCTTGTTTTGAAAAAATCATAATCATTTTTGCCATGTTTTCCTGCTTTTTTTTTCTCTTGTTAATGATAAATTTTAGGTATTTTTAAAACTAAAAAAAGAAATTTGAAAATCAAAAGTAATTCTAGTTTAATCAACTATTGGTTTGTGTTCTATAAAATCATAGTTCTAGCTGATATTTAACTGGTTATGCCAACTGAAAAATTGAAAAACCGGTAAATCTTAATGAAAACAATTGTGCATCAAAAATGAAATTTTTGCCAAGTCTTTGATTACTCTGTTTTTGAAATAAAATTGCTAACTAAAC